TACAAGTAAACTTGTAACTGGTAGTATAGTATGCAATGAAATTATCTGAAATTGGGGATGATTTGCCTTCCTTAGAACAAAATCAGACCTCATCAGAGACATAGAGTAAGATTTGATTGCTAAAAGCATTATTATAGAAATTTTTTTTTAGGACATTAAGGCCAATGTAGTTCATTATATTGTAGATCTTGTGCAAGAATCGGAGAGTCTCTATGGCCAAGTGGTTTAGGTTGCTAACTTGAACCACTTGCCTCTTCACCACGTTAGTTTGAATTAAGTCAGAAACTTGGGATTCTTTCATGCGAGGAAGCTATCTAGCCAGCTTACTGAACGTTGGTGGTTCCACTGAGGTTCCTGTTTATGCCTGAAAGACTGGTGGAGAGGCACCTGTGTTCTTCCTATACCAGTTAAGCTTGAAAGTCACCATATCATCATTAGAAGTGTTGGTTTGATTTTAAAACCCAACATTTTAAAGGGAATAATTTTCAGTAGGGTTATTTTAATACATGTCCCCATAAAAATGATGCAGCAAATGTTTCTCATGCATGCCCCTTCTAAGGATTTATAAATTTTTTAATGCACTGAAGGGGCCCTGAGGTCTTCCCTCCAGTAAAGCTGGAACGTTCTATATGACCTATACTGTGTGGGTTGATGTAAAACCAAACAAAATGCCGTTTGTAAAAAAAATAATTTTCAATATAATTGTGTGGGGAAAGAGAAAATAAGTTTAATAAAAAAACATAGGACATTTGAAAAAATTGTATTTTAAAAATTTTAAAAGGCTTTTAAAGCTTATATTCAATTTTAAAGCCAAAATGGTTATATAATGTGTTTTAAAAAATTGTTTCATTGGATAATTTTGAAACATTTTTTAAAAAATTAATTTTTTTCATTTCCATAAAAATTTTATTTTCTTTAAATTGGGAAATTCATTTTTTTGGGAAATTTAAGGGGGTTTTTTTAATTCTTTTAATTGAAATTTTGGTTTCTAAAATTAAAAGCCCCTAAAATAAAGGGGAAAAATGTTTTTAAATTAGGGGGGGTTTAAAAAAATAACAGACAGCTCTTTAACCTGTAAAAAAGAAAATAGTACAAAAATTATTAAACCCTTAGAATGCTGGAAATGATGTAAAATGTATAAAACCTCCAGGATCTTATAGGTGCTGTTTTTATTTTTTTGAATTAAAAACCTCAATAAATGAACTCTTTTCGCATGCAAAGATATTACCAGTAATTTTTTGAACATCTGAGATTCCATGAATGCCTCTCAGAACTAGAGAGGGTTCATTAATTATCAGTTTAAAGACGGTCACTTCTACAGGTATTGTAACAGCTTATCATCCTTTTATGCAAGGTACAAAACATGCCTTTTTTTGTTGCATTTTATCACAACATAAGTATGTTTGAAAAGATATGCTTCAAAAATGAAAATACTAATTTACATTATACTTTCATTAAGATAAATTTACAGTTAAATTTCTTACTTTCTTTGCTAAAAAAGATGATCATGTTCATTTAAAGGGATACTTTTTTTAGGGTTTTATGTAAGAATCTAAATATAATTCATAATTTTTCCACAGGTTTCATCTTAAAAATTTGTCCATTTAATCTGTCACAATTCTTTGTTAAAAGTTTTCCATTGATTTTTCCTTGCCAATTCATTGATATTAACTATTTAAATTGATAACATTGAAAAGTATTTTAAACTTTACTTATACTTTTTTGCCGGTTTCATTATTTTCCCTAATACTTTTAACTATTATTTTAGTTTGGCAATGACAACATAGTTTATACCAAATCCAATTATTGGAACAAAATCCAGATCATGGTCAGGAACCATTGTCAAAACTGTGGTTTTCCGACAGCTCGAGAGGTTGGGGTGATCATTAAAACTGTCACCACGCACATGAGAAAAAGAGGGTGAAGTTAATTTATGGCCTATTTTGTTATTTAATATATCGGGCAATAAGCATATTATTTTTTTCTTTTTTTTTCTGGGAACTATCTGCCCTATGTACTTTAAATTACCGTTTAATTTTATGCACCTTCAATAAATACTTGTTTATCTAAAAATATCTGAAAATGGTTGATTGAACCACCTACCCCAAATGATGCAGAGGGCCCACAGCACTGTTTGCTATTCAGTCAGTACTTATTTAGAATTTTATCCCTTAAAAAGATTAAGATGCATGATTTTGTTCAGATTTGGAAGATAAATGAAACTTTTTTTTTTAGATATTAAACACGGTAAGGGTTTAAAGGCCGATTATGCCTCAGTAATGCTATCATTTTTATTTTTCAAAAAATGTTTATTGATGGTATTATGCTACAGTGTCCAAAAATAAACTTATTTGCTGTAAACATGAACTATCTTTAGCATCTTTATCTCTGTTGGCAATTGGTATAATTATAGTGAATAAGTACTTTGTATGGAAGTCAAAACTTTGTTTACATTTTGCTATTTTTACAACACACAAATGCATGTTCAGCGCTACTATTTTTCAGCGTTATAAGTTGTAAACCATCTAACATACTCCTAATTCATTATTTAAAGATTATTAAATACATGTTTGACATTTCTGAAGAATTAATAAAAATATGGATTTCTGAGGCATAATGTGCCTTTAACAATACATTATAAAATTTTATTTATATACACAATGTAAATAAATATAATCATGGATGTAAAAAGATTGTGTAGAAAGCTAGAAGTTGTTTTAAGAACTCTCTCCTAGTGTCCGCATGTACATTAAGATTAACAATATGACAGATGTTCAATAGAATTTACAATTTATATATAAACAGGTCTGAACATATTGTTGAGAATAATGGCTAAGATGGGTCACAAGGAAGAGAAGAGATCTAGATAACCACACAATGAGAGTTGGAGTTTCTAGGTATGCTGTCCTCTGGAAGTTTGTTACAAGGTTTACGACCTTGCTTTCAATGGTTTAAGAGATGATTTAATACAAGGTTTTACAGGAACCCAAACTTCTTCTTCCTTTGTGGTACAAAATGCTAATGCGTAGATCCCTTACTTGACTAATTTTAATACACCCATAAACAGTTTTGATATGAACTACATAAATCTGAATTATAACGAGTTGTTTATGCCCCACAGAGTGGAGCATATGCGTTGCACTTGTCCCTCCGGTCCGTCTGTTCGTACGGTCCCGAAATTTGTGAAACGCAAACTCCTCTTAAACCTTTAATTTGGAAGATTTTTGCTTAAAACTTCCAGGGATGAAACAACCTTAATGTGTTAGATGGATTTTAGTAAAGGGAGGAATTTTTGCTGGCGAATAAATTTTAACAGAAAATTATGGGCCCTTTTTTGATTTTTTCACTATTTACTATGTAGAAAATTTTGTGAACGGGAAACTCTCTTAAAACCGGGAGGCAGAATTTTGCTTAAACTTCCAGGGATTGAAACAACCCCTTAATGTGTTAGATTGGTAGTAAAGCGGAAGGAATTTTTTGCTGGGACCAAAAATTTAAACAGAATTATGGCCCGTTTGTTGATTTTTTCACTATTATTACTTGTAGAAATTTTGTGAATGCAACTCCTCTTAAACCGGATGGCCAGATTTTTCCCTTAAACTTTCCAGGGATGAACAACCTTAATGTGTAAGATGGTAGTAAAAAGGAAGGAATTTTTTGCTGCAACCAAAATTTAACAGGGAAATATTGGCCCTTTGTTGACTTTTTAGTTTTTCAACTTTGTGGACATGTAGTCCAAAAAATATTTCACCATTAGAGTTCATTTAAGATTGACAAGAGAACCAGTGGCGTGGGGGCTCTGTGTCCTATGGACACATTTCTAGTTTCCCTTTATCTTGAGTAAAGTCATATCTCTTTATGCTAAAACAATTTACCAAATTGAGCCTTTTTAAAACCCCTGTTTGTTGTGATTTAATGACTGATTTTTAAGATTTTATTGACACTAAAGTATTTACAATAACATGTTAAACTGCTCGTCAGACCATTTACATAAACTCATTTATCTATATGAAAAAATGAGCTGGTTATTTTTTCTCTTAAAACTACTGATGAGAAAATCCCTGTTTCTGCTAGTTTGGGTATTCTTTTTAATCAGTGTATTATACAATAAGAATTTCACCACAAACATATTTTGTTAACAAAAATAGCACACATTTTAATGTTGGTTGTTTAAATCTATTGTTTTTCAAATAAAAGGTCATAGTAGGCATCTATCAATGGAACCTCTACAAAATATCAATTTGCATAAATTGGGATGCACTGAAAATAACTTTAATGTTGAAAAAAAACAAACAAAGTATATACCACTTCGAACTGCAAAACTTTGTAGATCATGACTTTGGAACATATCAAACCTCTGTGCGTATTGTTGTTAGTATATCGAAACAATTAAAAGTATGAAAAGTATGATTTCAACTTGTAAAAATAATTTGTTTTTATGATAAATAGAGGTTAGTATGGAATATTTCAAAATGTTCATGTAATTTTAAATTTGGTGTATAAAGTATATTTCTTAAATCTTTGATATTTTAATGACTTTTTTTGATATATTTGTATTTCAGTACAACATCTATACAAACATGTTTTCCGCCAGGCATCAGAAAGGTGACCTGACCCTTGTACCGTGGATCTCTAGTCAATTAAATGCTCACTTAGCCATTCTTGCTGATGTAAGTCATTTACATTAAACATTCACATTATGTTTGATATTTTAATTGCATCTCTCATATTCATATTAGTCTTACAATATTTTAATTCTCAGAAATGTTGTTGTTTATGTATTTGTCAGTGATTATGATGATTAAATATGATAAAATATTCTAAAACTTTATTTTTGAAGTTTTGGAGCACAAGTATTTAATGGGTTTTAAAAATTAATTTTTCTGTTTTTGTTTTTCAGAAACTTTTAAACTTTCAAGAGTTTTCCTGTTATAAAGCCCCCTGGCCCTGAAACCTTTTGTCATGGGTAGTAATCTCAAACCCTGCAAAAGGGCCCAATTGTTTTGAAGCTCTGATGGGTATGTTACATATTATTCAAATGTTATTTCATATCTTAGGGTATTTTTTTATGTAATTAAGGTCCTTGACTTCAAACCACTTGCATCTCACTGTTGTTGGTTTTAATTCCACCTCGGACTATGAATTCTTTCATGTGAGGAAGTTATTCAGTTGGCTTATGGAGAATCAGTGGTTCTACTTGGCTTGTGCCTGAGCACACGGTATTCTTCACAGACTAAAGCTGGAAAGTTGTCATATGACCATTACAGTGTTGATGTGACAATTGGTTTGGTTTCCATTGGTAGGAATGACATTCTGGAACTAAAATGTTTTTTCATCATGTTTTAATATTTTAACTGCATCTGTCATATTAATATTAGTCTTGCAAGTATGCAAGTTTGGGCTTGTGTTAGTAAAAATTCCATTTTTGAAGCTCTATTTGCAAAGCGTATAAAAGAGTATAATATTAACTTTAATTCTGTAATTATGCTAAAATCCTGCCACTTTAAGGCCACAGATTGTAAGCATGCTATTTTCAAGCTTCAAATCTAGATATTTTTAATATTTTAGAAGTATTTCTTTATTAATTAATGTTAATTTATTTATCTTGAAGATGTCAAATTATATGACCTAAAAACTGTCCAATAGATTACAAGTTACTATACGAATTATATAAAATCAGGTCCATGATTTTATTAATCTATATACAGTCATTTTAATTAATTAATATTTTATAGGGGCATTATATCTTGATGGTGGAATAGAATTAGCAGACAGAGTGTTTTCTAGAACTTGTTTTCCAGAAGAAGATCTTCTAGATACCTGGGTAAATTGTCCTAAACATCCCTTAGTAGCAGATGAGCCTGATGGGGACAGACACTGGATAGAACAAAGTCATGTTTTACAGGTAAACATGAGAGTATATCTGATGAGATTCTAGGGTTTTCAGGACACAGAGGTTTCTTACCTTTTGAACTTTGAACAACTAAAGGTTTAAAGGTTTGAACAACTTGTCCATTCCTTCTGGGATGATTTCATCATAAGGGTTCGAACAACTTGTCCCTTACTTACAATTTACTTCTTCAGATATCATTTCACAACTTGTACCTTTCTTTTGAGATCATTTCCTGAAAAAAGTCTGAAAAAGATGTCACTATCTTTTACAACCACCTGTCCTTTACTTCTGAGGTCACATTTCCCTCACACATGATTTGAACAACTTGCCCCTTTCTCCTGAATTTATTTCCCAAAAAGGTTTTGATCAACCTGTCCTTTACTTCTCAGATAATTTCTGAAAAGGGTTAAAACAACCTGTCCCTTCATTTAGAGATCATTTCCTGAAAAAAGTTTGAACAACATGGCATCATTTGATTTCCCCAAACAGGTTCAAACAGCTTGTTCTTGTAAGTTTGATTTTAGATATCAACAAAGTCCATTATTGAATAAAGATGATCAGCTGACTAAATGAAGATCATGTTCTTATAATCTTATCAAGAAATGAAAAGACATAGTTGGGTTTATGGGTATTTAGAATATGACCTGAATCGTACAGATCATTTGAGCAAAGGTACTTACAATGAAAGCTATATTTAGTTTTGCTTCTGATAGAAATTGGATATTAAAACTAATATGCCAGCTTATTAATGCAAAGAAATTCTTGGAACAAGAAATAAGTTTGTTTTTCTTAACATACTATGTTGTATTTATAGAAACTGGTACAGTTTGAAGACGACATTGGTTATGAGTTTAGACACATTCGTTTATTAGCTAGAGCTTTCACACAGAGGAATGTTGGATATAACAATCTTACATAGTAAGTACATGTGTGGTGGTGTTGGTGGTGATGATGATGACTAAGATAAGGTTTTTAACATTATAATTGTGATGATGATAATAATGATGACAAAGTTGATGTTGATGATGGTTACAAAGTTGATGATGATGATGATGATGGTGGTAACAAAGTTGATGATGATGGTGATGATAGTAATGGTAACAAAGTTGATGCTCATGTTGATGGTGGTTATAAAGTTAATGATGATGATGATAATGATGATAATAAAAATCATTATAATTGTAATGATAATGATTATTATGATAATGATGATGATCCTCTATGCAAGCACAACAAGAAGATCTAAATGAAAAAGTATTTTTGGGTTATTAAACTCCTGTTCATTTGACCATTAGATATACACATATTTGGTTGAATCTTGCAGAGCTTTCTTATTTTTACTATTACAGATAGGGGTTTATGAAGAAGAAAAAAAGTTGCGAAATGTTCATTTGTTGTACTTTTTTGTTCGAGAATAGGTTTTAGAGAATATGTTTTAAGTTGCAAGTTCTTTAAAATGACTTAACAATTAATAAAAGCATTATTATTATATGAACAAGTTTCTATGGTATCTGTGCATGTATTAAATTTATTTCAGTGGACATAATCAGCGTCTAGAATTCCTGGGAGATACAATAATGCAGCTGATCTGTACAGATTATCTCTTCAAACATTTCCCAGATCATCACGAGGGACATCTTACTGTATGTTTATTATCATTAACCTTTTTCTTGCTGACTAAGATTTTGTGTTACGGTTTTGCCCTGTATTACATTTAGTACAATCCATTTGAATTAAGTTAAGTGTGTTATATCATGTTTAGCTCCACTATTTGAAGGATAGAGAAAGCTATTGTACTCATTTGGGTTTTGGCTTCGGCATCACACTTTGATTAAGTTATTGAGTGCAAGATGGTATCTCCAAAAGTACTAAAGGGAATTGATTGAAACTTCACAAACTTTATTAAAAGCATAAAAGGAGATCATTTAGCAAGACCCATAACTCTATCATGGATTTTGACAGAACTATGGCCCTAGTTGAACTTGATATTTTTTATGCCTTTTACCTGGGAAGGGCATTTACATCCATCTGTAGACTTACAAAACAATGAAATATAGGGGCATCAATGTCCTTTGGGCACATTTCTCATTAATACATTACATTTTTTTCAGTTGTTAAGAAGTTCTTTGGTAAACAACAAAACTCAGTCAACTGTTGCCACGGAGCTGGGTATGCCAGACTTTGTCATTAAAGTGAATATGACAAAAGCTGAGAAACCTCTCACCAATATAGATCTGAAAACTAAAGAAAAAGCTGATCTGCTGGAAGGTAACACTGTAGTTAAAACTAAACTATAGAACAACATAACACAATGTTTATTTGTTTTTTGATTGGATAAACTATAAAAGAGCAGCACTCTTTAATAATACAATGTTTGTTGGTGTTTAGGATGGATTTTGTCATACTAACACCTAAATGCCACATGACACAATTCCAGCTGCGCTAGTGTAAGCCTCAGGTGCCCCTATGTACATAACTTCAGACAGGGCCAGGCATCTGAATAGAACCACCAAATTTCTTCTGTGAGCTAGTAAGATGGCTTCCTCACATGAAAGAATCCAAAGTCCCTGACAGAGTGTGAACCCACATTTATGTAGATCATAGCTCATTTAATTAACAAGTAGTTGGAACTACTTAGTTTCATTCAAGTAGTAATGAAAACAAGTTAATGTTTTAACTGGTTACTAAAATATATTTAAGTATATTTGTAGTATGAATAAGAAAAAGTTGTATTATGTATACTGGGGTATTGTTTTCACTACAGTTGATATACTCTATGTATTTTCAGCATTGTATGGTGCCCTGTATGTAGATGGTGGCCTGGAACCATGCCAGATACTGACAGATATATGTTTCTTTCCTAGATTAGAGGTAATATTTAATGAATTTAGTCTTTCTTGATATAGTAGGTAAAAGATTATATTATAGTTAGTATTGTATTGTATATGAACATGATTAATTTGTATTTTTCCACACATGAAAAAAGCTTGGTGATTTATAATTTGTTCTGTTTATCATTTTACTCTTTATGAAACCCTGAACCAGCTGGACTTGTCATGAAAAGATTAAAAGATTTCAGTATCAAAATACATAAACTGTGCTACCAACAGTGTAGAGCCTAGTTTAGAGTATAGACAGTTTTACAGACTGGACTGGCTCTTTTCTAGTGGCAAAGGATAATCACTTTCAGTTCTAGGGAAAATATATACTTTTTGGGTTGTAGATTAGGGATGAATTTTGGCACTAAAAAGCACTGAAATTAGATTATTGATGTGGATAAAAGCTGATGTCATCATAAATAAAATGTCATTTTTATGTAGATGATATATTTTAAGTAAAAATGTACCAAATTTGTGATAATGGAATATACATATAGTAAAATTGTGTTTCTTTCACAATTTAAAACACTTCTTATTTTTGAGAGAACATTTAATCTATACATTAATTATAAATATATTTTATCACTTTTTTAGGACTTTATAGCAGACCAGGAATGGAATGATCCTAAGTCGCAGCTACAGCAATGTTGTCTTACATTACGAGATATGAACGATGACAGCCCAGATATACCTATTTACAAGTACAATTTTACCTTGATCATACTTCAGCTTTGTTCACATTTTATTTAGTTGGTTGTTAATAGACTTTTCCAGTGTTCACAGTTTCATGCAAATAAGTTGACTATCCAATTTTCCCATCCACTGGGAAAATGGTTCTGTTTGTGATACTGTTGATAAGGAAATGACCTTGCAATTACTAGAAAAGGTGGTGATAAAATTTTTGCTGCTAAAATTGGAAATGTCTTTGGTTTTAATAGGCATGATATTAAGTTTTTCATGCCCCCTGTCCTATTAACACATTTCTGGTTTAAAGTAAACTGTGTTGTATACAGTTACATTTATTTAATCATGTGGATAAAAAGGAATTATGAATTCATTGTTCTTCATTCACAAGCTAATTGAAAATGGAATTGAATATAAGATTTCATTTGCTAATAGGAAGAGAATTAATAAAAACATTCTGTACTACATTGAATTTATAGACATAAATTTCAAGATGTCACATCGGACATCATATGATGTGTTAACATTTCATTCTTGCTGAACATTGATGGTTCTACTCAGGTGTTTAGTCGTACCCGAAATAATGCATGTAAGGGCACCTGAGGTCTTCCTTCACCAGTAAAGCTGTATAGTGGCCATATGATCTATACTGTATTTGTGCAACATAAAATTCAACCCCCCAAAAAGCACTTCATTGTTATATTTTCCCGAAAGGGCATATTATGTTATACCCCCTGGCGTCCGTCTGTCTGTCCGTCTGTCCGTCTGTTAGCAATTTGGTTTCCGGAGCATAACTTAAGTTCCATTTGACCCACAATGTTCAAACTTCATAGGATGATTGCCCATATTGGGTGGAAGACCTCTATTGATTTTGGGGTCAAAAGGTTAAAGGTCAAGGTCACTATGACCTTAAAACTGAAAACAGTTTCCGGAGCATAACTTAAGTTCCATTTGACCCACAATGTTCAAACTTCATAGGATGATTGTCCATATTAGGTAAAGACACCTATTGATTTTGGGGGTCAAGGGTCAAGGTCACTATATCCTTAAAACTGAAAACAGTTTTCGGAGCATAGTTCCATTTGGCCTTCAATATTCAAACTTTATAGGATGATTGTCCATATTGGGCAAAAGACCCCTATTGATTTTTGGGTTCACTAGGTCAAAGGTCAAGGGCACAATTACCTTAAAACCAAAATAGTTTCTGAAGCATAACAAAAGTTCCATTTGGTCCACTATGTTCAAACTTCATAGGATGATTGTCCATATTGGGTAGAAGACCGCTACTGATTTTGGGGTCACAAGGTCAAAGTAACTTTTACCTTAATACTGAAAACAGTTTCTAGAATAAATTAAAGTTCCAATTGGCCCACAATATTCAAACTTCTTAGGATAATTGTCCATATAAGGTAGAAGACCCCTATTGATTTTGGGGTCACAAGGTCAAAGTCATTATTAATAACTTAAGTATTAATCAACCTACAGCTGTAAAATTTTATAGGATGAACAGCTAATTCCCATGTCTTACAAATGCTTCATCCTTACTTAAAAAAAAAACATTCGGGCATATAATGCTTCGCCTAGCGGTGCTCTTGTTATGATGTGCACACATCCTGCAATAATTCATCAAATGCATTGTATATTTGTTAAAAGAGGAAACAGAGTGATGGATGTTAATGATTTATATTAATCTTTTACCAGTTGAATTTGTAAAAATCATTTGATATACTTTGAATTATAAAATCAATTAAAATTTTGATGAGAATTATTATATAGGCAAACTTTACATTGACAAACATCGACTTACATTTGAGCCGCGTCACGACAAAACCAACATAATGGGTTTGCGACCAGCATGGATCCAGAACAGCCTGCGCTATAGCGCAGTCTGATCAGGATCCATGCTGTACGCTTACAAACTCTATAACAAGTAGAGAAACTGATAGCGAACAGCATGTATACTGATCAGACTGCGCAGATGCGCAGGCTGGTCTCGATCCATGCTGGTTGCAAACCCACTATGTTGGTTTTATGTGACGCGGCTCATTTTTTCTTTATATAAAAGGGTTATCAGGAAGTATGGACCAACAAATCTACGGAAGTATATGGTAGCAGTGTATTTCCGAGAAAAGAGGCTCGCAGTGGGTGTGGCGGGAAGTAAACAGCAGGCCGAGATGGTGGCAGCAGAAACTGCTCTAAAAGAATACCAAGGTACTTAATACAAATCATTGTTTTTTATGGAAACTATCAAAGCTATTCATTCTAAACTTTATACACTTTTTCATTAACAAAATCACCATATCCCAGGGGCAGAAAATCCTTTCGTGTTATTTTTAAAGTTATTGCCACTTTCCCTCCTTAGCTTTTTTTGCCCCTGTTTAATGTTTTGTTCAAAAACTGTTTACGATATATAATCACATTAAACTTATACACTATCAAAATTTGATTGTTAAACATGTAATTCATTTTTGCTCAGTTATGCTCCTTTTTGCTTTAGAATTTTGATACTGTAAATTACTAAAAAGTTTTCTTTTTTTTTTCACTTTTAATAATTACTTGTTCACCATCAATAATAAAATGCAAATAACACTGAAAGTCATTTTTTTTTTTTTTTTTTTTTTTTTTTGGACTTTTTTTCCTTATTTTCTCAAAGCCATCACAGATATTTAACTACCAGGTATGCTAATTAGTCAAAATTAGTCTGAAATGGCAAAATTTTAGCTGTGCCAAAAATGGCTTATTTTACAGCATCACAGTGCTAAAGATATTTTTTTTTTGTCTTTACATTTTTTGTGGCTCCATTGATTTATTGGTATTTTCAAATAACCAGGTTATCTTTGATATATATATATTTTTTGTTTTTGTTTTTTATTGGTTTTTTGGTGTTTTTTTTTCAGGATTATTCCACAGAAGTGTATACCCTTCAAGAGCCAAAAATAAGGCTGTGATTGCAGCATTTAGAAAAGAATTCCAGCATGAGAAACAACTCCAATCATCTGATGTAGACACAGCAAAAAATTGACTCTTTTTGTTGACATTTGTATAAAAACCAACAGAGTTTTCTGTCGGAACTAGAGCTGAACATATTGGAAACACCATGCTTTGTGATAAGTGTTAGACTGAATGATTGTGGAGATATTGATCTTGGGGATAGTAAAATATAAATGAGCCGCGTCACGACAAAACCAACATAATGGGTTTGCGACCAGCATGGATCCAGACCAGCCTGCGTATCCGCGCAGTCTGATCAGGATCCATGCTGTTCGCTATCAGTTTCTCTACTTGTAAAAGAGTTGGTAAGTGAACAGCATGGATCCTGATCAGACTGCGCAGATGTGCAGGCTGGTCTGGATCCATGCTGGTCGCAAACACACTATGTTGGTTTTGTTGTGACACAGCTCAAATCTATAGAATACAGAATGATAATTGATGATGATATAAGTCTATGAAAGCATTCATGATCGGAATTATGATTTTCTAAAATAAAGATAATTAGAATAATTGATCTAGTAGCATTAATTATTAGAATTGGAAATTTATAAGCATTGTTGTTAGATTTACATATCTAAAAAGCATTGATAATTGGAATTACAAATCTTTTATAATAAAGCATTGATTATTAGCATTACAAATCTATAAAGCATTGATAATTAGAATAACAGATCTGTAAGGCATTGATAATTATAATTATAAATCTGTAAAGCATTGATAATTATAATTATAAATCTGTAAAGCATTGATAATTATAATTATAAATCTATAAAGCATTGATAATTATAATTATAAATCTGTAAAGCATTGATTATTAGAATAACAGATATTTAAAGCACTGATTATTAGAATTACAAATCAATAAACCACAGTTTATAGTACTGTATTCATAAAATTAATTTGTTAGTTAATACTGAAGTTTTGCTTGTCTAATTCAATGAAATGAAGGTTTTTCACTGATGTGAAATAGCCAGTATTACTTATTGTACATTATTTATTGGGAAAATTTACTGTTCTTTTGTCATTTCCTGCTCTTAAATACAAGGATGTTTTTGTTTTTATGAAATTTAATAATGCGCTATATAGATCAGGATACACTATCGTTATACATATTTGCATGCATCATTTACAATCATGCTCACTCTTTGTGCCAGAAATTAATGTGCTATTTTTGTTGTTGAGTTACACATGCAGCTTGTGATAATGTGCAATGTATATATATATTGTAGTTATGTATAGGATTAAATCCTGTTGTATTGTGTTTAAGTTATTTTGTATTAAAATTGAAATGACTGCTTTTCCATATGATTGACAATGACCATAAAATGTACTATTTATATGAAAAGTTTGTTTGTTTTGTTTTGCTATACCTCTTGCACAACAAAGTTGTAAGGTGATGGACTGGGCGGTAGATAACTGGTTTATGGGTGTCATAGACACACACTTTATGTGTGCTTCTCAAAAACCTCAACAAATTTTGATAAAGTGTGACTGGTATAATGAACATAAAGAAATTTGACCTAGACCCTTAAATGACATTGACCTTCAAATCCTTTAATTTTGCTGACTTTGGCTGTAAATTCTTGTAGATAAATGTATTGTCTTTATTCATTGACAAAACAACCCTTGTGAAAATGCCTTTAAGGACTTTTTCCGGAGTTTTCATATAGACATGTAAGCAAAATTAACTATTCAATAGAATTTCTTTAAACTTGGCATGTTACAGAAACATTCTAAGCGAAAAACAATTGGGCTCCAAACTTTGACCATACATAGATAACACAAAACCGACATGTATCAACATGAAACTCCGTAATACCCTTCATAATGCATGGGTTGGTGGGGCTTGGGTATCAGCAGGGTATATCAGTTACATGTAGAACATCGATACTTCTTAGTTTAATACTCAAATCACCTAATTTACTAATAAACTGTTTCAAATGCAAACGGGCGTGGACATATGAGCCGCATCGCGATAAAACCAACATAGTGTGTTTGCGACCAGCATGGATCCAGACCAGCCTGCGCAGTCTGATCAGGATCCATGCTGTTCGCTATCAGTTTCTCACCTTGTAAAAGGGTTGGTAAGCGAACAGCATGAATCCTGATCAGACTGCGCAGATGCAAATGCACTATGTTGGTTTCGTCGTGACGTGGCTCAATTCTTGCATTTACTGCAGGTTAACGGTAAAACATGGCTGTTGTTTTTGATAGTGAACACCTATGTGGACAATTTAAGCAAAGCGAAAGGCTGTAATTGTAAAGTCTGAGTCATTTGTACAATATGGACTTTAATGAAAGTGCAACATGATTGACATCTACTTGCTTCTGTTTCGTCTCTGTTTTAGGAATACTTTATGATATTTATTTGATTTATTTATTCCTTCTGAAGAATCAGTATGGAGAAACAGCTCAGCAAGTGATATATTTTGTATTATTTCAATATGTTGTGTGACAGGGACATTTGAGGCAGAGAAAGCAAAATGAATTTGTTTCAATTATTAATGAATAAATGTCGAGGATCAATTGATCATGTCTAGGCTTACAAAGTCTGTAAATTTATGGACCATCAATAATTCAGTAGACCTTTTTTTATCTGTAAATTATAGACAATAGTAGAAATTGTAATGAAGCTCGAAACCAGAGCTTAAAAAGAATATGGTTTCTGATTATTTGATTATAATGTATTCTGAAATTCTAGACGCGTTGACACAAGCAAATAAAATGTTTACATTTCTCCAATTCAGAACAAGTTGTGCGTATTAGATGAATTGACAACAAAATAACATTAAAAGTGGAACTGAATTTTAAATGCATGCACATGTATAATGCATGAAGCGTCTATTTTCACGATGGAAAATAAAATGTGGGGCTTGGGACAAAGTCATCTTATTACGAAAGTACTTTTAGTATCATAAAAATCATTTACAAAATCTTTGGCCCAATCATAAGCTTAATTAAGCGTGAACGCCCATACAAAATTATCTCGATGTCTGTTTGACCAGTCTAATTAGTTTGACTATCTATTGTACAACCCTTGAGGCTCGTGCCTGCAAGAAAAATACGGATTAGGATAGATGTTTTGATGACAAACCTAACTTAAGCAATGATTTTAAAAAAAATCAAGTGCATGTTTTTTTATCGGACATGTAAAAGGTGCATAATAAAATGTGCACACGGAAATGAACCAGAAGTAATGTTCAAAGAAAAACTTTCATTTAACGCTTTTGCATTTGTTAAAGACTGAACTTTTCATGGAAATTGCAGAAACCGAAAGCTTTGTTTTATTTGTAGAATTGTTTTCATAGATCTACTAAAATTTCAAACCCTATCTTATATGTTCTTTTGTCTGAATTTTTTTTACATGGTTGGACTGGAAATATTTGTTTGATATTTATATTCCATTTGATGTACGTCTACACCAATAACTTGTGGTCATTCGCTCACTCCGTTTATTTCAAAATAACTATTTCTATTGTAAGGAAGGACCAATGTTAAAACATATAGTTCAACAGAATTATAACGCCAGTTTAGTTTGATTTAATTTAATCAATAAATTGTACATACACAACATTTACAAACATTTCGTGACAAAGAAATTTAGACTGGACTTGAAAGAAAGTAAAACAATACTTTTATCAATTCCTTTCCAGATATCGTTCATCTTATTATTGAGGAGACAAAAGTAGAGAAAATTAAAAGCGTGTCTTAATCCGGAACTTGTATTTGATCTGAGTATATTTTACATAACCCGGACTTTACAAGACACTGGATCCACCCAGATCATATGAAGTATAACTAATTACATTATAATCAATGTACATGTGCTCTGACAATAAAAATTATATTATACGCTTGATGGAATATTTGCGCTATAATTATTTCAACCGAAATGTTATGGTTTTACATGAATCACAATATAAAATACATTTTTTCCTTCCTGTTCGATCGTGTCACTATAAAAAGTATGTACAGTGAATGTCACAAACTAACAGGTACTAGAATATATACAAGATCAAAACAAACTTAGTGTGGCTGCATCAATCTGTAAAAAACACTTTTTTGAGTTAACGCACATTTGTGAACTTGACTTTCTTCAAACTAGTCAAATTCACACAAGCTCCGGAAAACACGATAACAATAAAAATCATGCCAGACCCATGTGACCTCCTGACGCACCCCTACACACTTCTCGCCCGGTATGTCCGGTTGACTTGGTCCCCATTTCACGAAATGGTCAGAGATGGGTGTACCGTCTTCCCAGTAAAATGTTCCTCCACTTGTGTTGCGTGATGCTCCTATCCAAGTGTCACTAGTATAGTCTGAAATAATATGACTGAACATTTTTTAAGATCTATATCAAAAATAATTACAAGCATTTAAGTAAGGTATAATGCCTCTGAAACAAATGAATCCTTACAAACCTTTCAAACTCCCCTCCCCCCCCCCCCCAAAAAAAAAAATTTAAATAAATAAATCAATAAAAAAAAAATGTAAATTGACTTCTATTCAAAATGCTAAATTCCTATATCTGTTCTAATTGACAAATACAACAGAAGAGTTGTTCATTCAGGTAATTAATTGGCCTAAGAGTAACGTTAAAGACCTCCATAAATTACCGACCAACAACTAATTATAAATTGATTATCATATGTTTAATGAAAAACTGTGAAAACGTGTTCGGAAAGATTGCTTGAGTTAGTTAATATCAACCCCAGATAACTGATGTATTAAGAATTCCATTAAGCGAATGGTCGTATGCTTTGATGTTTCGCGATGATTATAACAGGACTGAATGCGATGCATAAGAATCACGATACATTAAAATATATTTGAATGAGAAAAGGTCTGGACATGATACAGTAAAATAGAATTGAAAGATAAAAAGTTTGGACACAATACATGAAAATAGATGTGAATGAGAAAAGGTCTGGACACGATACATTTAAAATAGACGTGAACGAGAAAAGGTCTGGACATTTTATATTAAAATAAATGTGAATGAGAAAAGGTCTGGACACGATACATTTCAAATAGACGTGAACGAGAAAAGGTCTGGACATGATACATTAAAATAGATGTGAATGAGAAAAGGTCTGGACACGATACATTTAAAATAGACGTGAACGAGAAAAGGTCTGGACATGATATATTAAAATAAATGTGAATGAGAAAAGGTCTGGACACGATACATTAAAATAAATGTGAATGAGGAAATGTCTGGACACAATACATTAAAATAGATGTGAATGAGGAAAGGTTTGGATACGATACATTTAAAATAGACGTGAACGAACGAGAAAAGGTCTGGACATGATATATTAAAATAAATGTGAATGAGAAAAGGTCTGGACACGATACATTAAAATAGATGTGAATGAGAAAAGGTCTGGACACGATACATTAAAATAGATGTGAATGAGAAAAGGTCTGGACACGATATATTAAAATAAATGTGAATGAGAAAAGGTTTGGACACGATACATTAAAATAGATGCGAATATGAGAAAAAGTTTGGACACGATACATTAAAAGATACGAATGAGAAAAGGTCTGGACTCGATATATTAAATAGATGTGAATGAGGAAAGGTCTGGACTCAATATATTAAAATAGATGCGAATGAGAAAATGTCTGGACACGATATATTAAAAAAGATGTCAATGAGAAAGGGTCTGCATGTACATGTACACGATACATTAAAAAAGATATGAATGAGAAAAGGTCTGGTCACAATATATTAAAATAGATGTGAATGAGAAAAGGTCTTGATACATGCATGCATTAGAATAGGAACAAAATGCCTTGGAGTACATATAAATGGGAAACAATAGAAAAGAACTAGTCATGATACATTAGAATTGGAATAAACACGATATGTTAAAATAAATGTGAATGTGATACTTTAGAACAGGACAGAAAGTGATACATATATAAAGATTGAATGCTTAACTTTTGTGTGACATAAACGCAATATTTAATTTGCTATAGTTATGTGTGTTTTTTGTGTGATTATATCAAGTTCAGATCTAGTTATTTTATACATGTGCAGCGTTTTTTTTAAGGACCCTTTTTTAATCAGGTTTACCTCGCTTACAGTGAAGTTGCAGGCACGCTCTTTTGGTGAATCCATAGACAGTCTGTAGGGTAGCTGAAAGTTTCTTTACTAAAAAAGATTCAATGCCCAAAGTGGAATTTGATCTTGTGTTGGAAATGAGCAAATGATTCACGGCCTGTGACTCTGACCATTGGTTCAGGTACTGTACTTTAAATTGTGGAGCAAATATATAAAAACTTTAATTGATCAATTACATGAATAATTAGAAAAATACATAATGTTAAAAGAACTTACCACTGTCGAACGCTTGATCCTCTATATATATTTCTTCCTCTTCTGATTTTATGTCTGCTAAATGTCCACCTAAAGTCTGACAGTGTAACTAGAAAATAATACCATACAAGTCATTACCAGCATTAAATTTTGATTAATTATTGTCACCAATGCTACATGAATATTTTGCACATTTACCACAATACTGAATTTATTTTATGTTAGAAGGAAGTAATGCACAAAAATCATTTAAGGTCACTAAATGAAAGTAAGGAAAAAGTTTGTGACATTCATTATTGGTAATATTGAGTTGAAACAAGCAATCGTAGTTCCCAGAAGTAAAAAGATAAGGATTTTGAAATAGAACACAATGGTTTTATGAAATACATAGAAACAGTTATATGCCACAAAATAAAAAAGAAATAGAACACAATGGTTTTATGAAATACATAGAAACAGTTATATGCCACAAAATAAAAAAAGAAATAAAACACAATGGTTTTATGAAATACATAGAAACAGTTATATGCCACAAAATAAAAAAGAAATTTAAAGAACACAATGGTTTTATGAAATACATAGAAACAATTATATGCCACAAAATAAAAAAAATAAGTTCTTTAACCCAAGTTGCAAGGTCATGAACACGAGACAATTTTAATTATTACAAGCGATCAGAAAAAACAACAACAACAAAGACAAAACTTATTAAAATCCGCCATGAGTTTGCCAATTAACGTCGCGAACTTTCGAATCGTTATTCTTTTCGTTATTAAGTGACATTGTATACAACAAAGGTCACTCATTGGTTCCACTGAAATTGAAAATGTAATAAAAATATAGTAAGGCTTCGTTTTTCAAGCACCTGTCATAAGCATCTACAAATTCCGATAAAAAGTGTATCAAAATACATTTAAACACATGATTGCACACTCATATGAAAACTTGTTTTAGTGTTCCCTTAGCATGCTTGTTAACTTGTTCTCGTGATTTCGGAAATACTTTTATCAGCCAAAATTTCAATATTACAGGAAAACCTCTCCTGGACGTTTGACATTTGTTTTAAAAAAAGAATGAATAACAAATTTTGCAAAAAAAGTATCTTGCTATCGAAAGAGAGGTATGCGCAACTTGCATGTCTACCTCTGAAAATTAATTAGATATATGCAATAGAGTACCATTATTCTTCAAAATAAATTTTTAAAATCGAGTTTTACGCACTTAATAACTTGACAACATGATGTTTAAAAAATATTGTAGAAGTTATCCCTCCACATACTTTCGGCCAGAATATCGCATTATGTGTTCAAGACATAAAACATGTCATTTTAGCTTACCTTGAATTTGAGCTTTCATACTAAAGTGTGATTTTTCTATGATAATGAATTGCCGTACACATAAACCTTTTTTTTTTACTTCAAAATGGATTATTCCCTGTATACATTGAAATTTTCTCCGCTATTCGCACCACTAAAAAATACTTTTTAAAAATTTAAAAACCCAAAGTAAAAAAGTGATCCTAGAGAATAAGGAAATATTTCATTTCAACAAGAACTTTAAATATTTGTTATCTTATAAATTCATACCAGAAGTTAATAAAAAAAAACAACTTTTATTTGTAAAGCTGACAATAGACAATTGTTAACAAATTTTGTAAATAAACAACAACTCAGACAGGCGTGTCCGACCGAGGCCGCGCTGTCTTCAAATCAATTGCCCTGAACTGCTGTGAATTCAAAAACCACCAGGGACTTTTGATTCTTTCGTGTGGAAAACCTATCAAGCTAGCTTCAAAATGTCGATGGTTCTCTGCAGGTTCAACATTTTACTTGAAATAATACACAAAGGCGCATCTAAGGTCAAGCTACAGTAAAGAGTTTAAGTTTGAAATAAAAACAAAAACAGTCATAACCAAGAACATGTTGAATAACAGTTTGCTAGGAGCGTAACAAGCCAAAATGAATTTTATTATTCGAGTTCATAGACTTCTATATTTTTACCAGAATATTAAACATACAGGAAAATTTCAGATATTATGATAAATTGAGTAACAGGTTCGTGTTTATCTGAAAAGTAGCTTCCGCAATGTAAACTTTCAAAACAATTGTCATATTGGAAATGAAAATCATGCATCAAAATAAATATGCAAAATATATAGACAATGGTAGCTAGCTACATTTCTGTAAAACAGGTCGAAACTGAAAAATCCATATTCTGTAGTCATGGTTGAAATAGTTCCACAAACAAGCATAACTAAGAGATCGTTTAAGAATGCAAATTGAGAGAAGTTATGCTTACTCTTGCATCGTTCCATGATTTCTTGTCAGTAACAAGCATGTACGCTGAAATGAAACATACACGTACATATGAAACATACGTGGGTAAAAACATACTGAATACCAAAAGACACCTTCATTATATTGACATGTAAATAGCGAATAAGAATTTTTATTTTTTCGTTCTTTTTCCATTTCTTTTTTTAAGGTGTATTCTAGGGACACATAGACATTTAGCAGATTAAAACTATAAAATAAAAAAAATGTAAGTAATCATGTGTATATGTGCTGCGAATTTGTTTGAAATAAAATTTGTTTTAACGAAAAAGCGCATATATGTTTAAATGGAAATGCGCACAACGGAAATAACAATAAACGCATGGTTGATTGAAGAAAATATGTATAAACGAAAATGCGCACAACGGAACTACAGTTTACGCATGGTTAATTGAAGAAAAGTTTTCAACCGTTTCTTGCAGGAATAATTAGAATGATATCTTTAAAACACGTACTGATGTTTAGCAGTCTGGTATGGCAGATATAGATTTTAAATCTGCCTGTCATAGATAGCTGCAAAATGGCACATTAAATAAATAAATAAATAAATATATAAATAAATAAATAAATAAGTGGACACCCTTATGATGGTTGAACAATATTAAGTAGGAGATAACTGGAACCAATTGTTGAAATACATGTCAACTACAAGTTCCAGAAATATCAAATTTATTCTTCCTTACACTAAGTAACTTAAATCTAATAATTACTTACTTCGTCGTTTAAAGAACTTCATTCCATCCAGAGATGGGGCGGATGAATTGGTAAGAAATTTGTCATTGCACCCTACACAGTCCATATTAGCTTCGTGGTGGAACACGCCAAAACACGACGAGCTATCAGCACACGTTGTCAGGCACTGCATTATATTCAACTTATCGTCTTCAAAATCCTTATCCATTCTAGGACATGTAAACCCTTCCAAATCGGCATTTTTTGTAAACTTTGTAAACTTTATGTTACCACTGGCTATAAGTAAAACAAAGCCTTCTAAAACAAATAAACAGATATTAAAGCAATATTTCTTCATGTTGCCTTTGCACAAACTATCAAGCAAATACCAGCAAAGCAATGTAAACGTGTGCAGTCTTCCAGTTGATAAAAAAATGACAAGAGGGTTATGATGGCCTGAATCTTTCACCTGAGAAACATAATGCTAGAAAGTTTAAAGCCAGTAATGACGTCACATTTGGTTTGTCATTTTTTTTCTCCAGGCTGCATACAAAATGTAATTGTAAAATAAGTGATCTCCAATGCGTTGCAATTTTTTATCAAAGGGGCATGGCTTTTACACTATTTGTAGATGTCCACTTTGCAATGCCAGATGCAAATTTCTAAGGTCATGGAAATGTGTTTTCACAAAAGTAGACTTAAAAGCATTTTCCTATACAAGTCTACATAAACTAAGTAACCCTGGACAGGGCTAATTTTGACCCAAGTGGCATGATTTATATAATGGTTGAAGAAGACCACAAATAAGTGATGCTACAAGCAAAATATCTAAGATCTTGGCCTTGTCATTTCAAAGAAGATTTTTGAGACATTTTTACTTTACAATTATATAACTTTTGGGTCTACGAAGCAATACTACATGCCAAATATTTAATCTTTTAGCATTGTAGTTTCACAAAAAAAGAAGATTTAAATGATTTTCCTTATACAACAGAACGACTTTTGATTAACTTACTTTTCTATGAATAGTTTACTTTCCACAATGCTTTTTTTCATGGAGGCATCCATTTTGATTGTCTTGCCAAGTACATTATAAAAGAAGTAATTTGATTGGCTCTTAATCAATTATAATAAACGGATCGATTTTTAGATTATTTTCATTTTTATCTAATCAATTGTTATTTATTGTCTGCAAACAAACAAATAGCCGAAATTTGTCATTGTTAGTTCAGTACTGCACCATCTAGGTCAGTATAACAAGGCTCAAGCCTTGACTTTAAATAAAGACTTCAGTCTTAAAGTAAACACTTCCAAGTGTTAATTCAAATCGACTGCTTACTGTCAATTTATAACTTCATAAAGCTGTACAAATCTTAAATAAGAATCTTTACTGAAAAATTATTTAATAAACTTTTCATTCATAGACATATTATATTCATAATTGGGACTTGATTAAAAGATTATTGTTTATTTAAATTTGCTTGGTTGTTATTTGTATCCCAACAACAAACCCACAGAATACAAATATATGTTCCTTATAACGGCCAAATTGTGATCTATATATGTCCGAACGATACTTATTTAAAACTGCCACTATTACAAATCTAAATGACCCTTGGGCAGGGACCAATTTTGACCCCAGAGGGATGATTCATATTACTTGGAAAGTTAAAAGCAACATATCTATAAACTCTATGCGTTTCAGTTTCATTATAGAAAACTTAAATATTGTTTCCTTTATAGGCCTTTGTAAACTATTTTAGCCCTACGGCTGTGTCATTTCTGAACCAAGGGGGAAGATCTATATTGTACAAGACCATAAGGTGATGCTACATGCCAAATATCTATGTTCTTGGCATTGTGGTTTCTGAGAAGAAATTTTTAATCTAATTTTTAATTTCTGTTTTTAGCTCCTGTGACCTAATCATGTATAAGCATTTATATCGTTTTTGTAGAAGACCACCTAATGATTATTGCTGTAAACTTTGGTCAAAATCCTTCAAGTGGTTAAGAAGGAATGTTGTTTAAAGAAATTGTGGACAATGACGGATGACGGACACAATACCAACCCAAAAGCTCACCTCTGAGCTCTTTGTGCTCAGGTGAGCTAAAAATGATGACTTGCAAAGTTTCAATAAAATGTTTGTCTGAATGTGATTAACTAAAGCTATTTGTAATAAATAATGAAATATTTATCGGTATTTTATTACCAGTTTCAAACACAAATGATGTCATATGAATATTTTAGAATATTTTAGAAACCTTCTATTGTAATTGTCTACAGACCGGATATGTTTTTTGAGCAGTTACTCAGGGAAATCTATAAACATATTAAATTCTCTTTTTATTGCCCTATTGCAATTCATCTAGCAATTGTCTATACGTAAATGTCACTCATACTAATTCTGTACAAAATACAACAATGATGTGACAGTGAGCAGCATAGAACGAAACTTCGATTTGTGCATAATACATCATCGTTTACAGCATAACTTAACATCAAATGAAAAATGAAACTTAATCAATGCAATAATATGAAAGAAAAACATTAGTGCTAGTATAACATTCATTTGTACGGTGTCCTCATTTGTAAGTATAACTTCTATAGACATGTAGATCTACATAATAACTTAGTATAATTATTCTCCATGTTTTGTGCAAAATAAAGGTCAATGTCATAAGAAGTCAAATAAATCTACCAACATTTGTTTTGTCCGCACTATATTTTGCTTATTATGGTTCATGGCCAGAGGATTTTTGTTGAGCCCGCTTGCACTGAGCTCGACAGTTGTCAAAATGGCGGCTGCTTAGTGCATTGGGGAATTTTCAAATAACACGAATTGAGTTTTTTTATAATGTCATACACATAAACCTTATCACCGGGTCAAGATCACCTTAGATGTTTAAATGTAAAGAATAAAGAGGATGTGTCTATGAAAACATGTATGTTTCACAATGATCTGTAGCTAATAGGTCCATGTCCGATTTAAGACGAGCGGGTCTCAACATTCTGCCCGTAGGCATGCCTTGTTCATAATACTAATTGTTTCAATAGATTTATATAGCAGTATATTTTGTTGCTTGGTCATTTTGTTTTTTGTTTGCATATTACACTTAGCTTTTTAATTTTTAATATATACATTAAAGAAGGGGGATAGGATGTACCTTCAACCGACATCCACATATGGAAAAGGGTAATGAAAAATTAATCTTAAAACTAGAGCTATCACTTAATGTGATTAATACCCCGGCAAGAATACTTCGGAAATGAAGAAGTTACTAGTAACAGAATACCTTGTAAAAGAATTGAAATAGAGTTATGGTTGTGGGCAATTAAAGATAGTTGTGGTTATTGTACATTGCATTCCCTTTCACTTTGGTTGACAATTGATATAGTGTTATTGAATTATGCCTACTCTTTAAGAAGTCCAGATAGAGTTACGGTTCTTGAGCACTGCACTTCCCCAATCTCAACTACTCGACCCTTTCCGTCAGTCTTCGGGTAAGGATATCGGTTATTCTAGATAATAGCCGAAGCAGTTCCGAATGGCACTTCCCCTCATTGTGCTTGTCCATTGTATGAATTTGAATTGAATTCCAAACATTTGATTTTAAGTTATGCACCGGACAAGGAAAAGGAACAAAGGGCAATAACTCTGGAAATACTGAAGATGGAGTAATGGTTATTGTACACTGCACTTCCTCTCATTTTGCCTTGACCATTGTATGAAGTTGCATTGAATTACAAATAGTTTTCATGTAATGCTCTGGACAATAAAGAAACAAAGGACAATAACTCTGGAAATACTAAAGATGGAGTTATGGTTATTGTACACTGCACTTCCTCTCATTGCCTTTGATCATTGTATGAAGTTGCATTGATTTCCAATTAGTTTTCATGTAATGCTCTGGACAAAAAAGTAACAAAGGGCAATAACTATGTAATTAATCCAAAAAGAGTCCAAATAGAGTTATGGTTCTTGAGCACTGCACTTCATTCCACTGCTCTTGACCAATTGTATGAAGTTGCATTGAATTCCAACCATATATTTTTCAAGTTAAGTGAACGTGCACAATAAAAAGTAACAAAGGGCAATTACTGTCTAAAATGAGTTATGGTTCCTGTGCACTGCGCTTCCTCTCAATATACCTGACATTGTACAAACTTGTATTGAATTCCAACAACTAGATTTCATGTTATGCTCTGCAACAAGGAAAAAGTAACAGGGCAATCACTCTATAATTATCTGGATAGAGTTATGGTTCTTACACCTGCACTTCCTCTGAATTGTACTTGAACCGTTGCATGAAATTGCATTGAATTTCAAATCGTAAGTTTTCAAGTTATGCACTGGACAAGAAAAAGTAATGAAGGGCAATAACTCTGTAATTTAGTCAAGATGGAGCTAGGGTATCTTGTAACAACTGCGCTTTCACTCAATGTGCTTAGACCATTGTTATTAAGTTGAAATGAATTTCAACAGGTGGTTTTGCAAGTTTGCTTCAAGACAAGAAATGCAACGGAGAAAGTAAGCCAAGGCGAATAACTATTTACTTTAGACAGAGTAATGGTTCTTGTGCACTGGCACTTTCCCTCTTATTATGCTTGACCATTGTATGAAGGTGTTTTGAATTCCAACTAAAGGTTTTCAAGTTATGCTCTGGACAAAAAAAAAAAACAATGGAAAAGTAACAAGGGCAATAACTCTATAATTTCTCTGGATAGAGTTATGGTTCTTGTGCACTGCAATTCATTTTATTGTGCTTGACCATTGTATGAAGATATATTGAATTCCAACTAGTATTTTTCAAGTTATGCTCTGGACAAGGAAAAGTGTCAAAGGACAATAACTCTGTAATAAATAAAGATGGAGTTATGGTTCTTCTGCACTGCACTTCCTCTCAATGTGCTTGACCATTGTATGGATTTGTATTGAATTCCAACCAGTGGTTATCAAGTTATGCCCCGGACAAGAAAAAGCAATGGAAAAGTAACAAAGGGCAATAACACTGTACTCTTGTGCAATGCACTTCCTCTTATTTTGCTTGACCTTTGTATGAAGATGTTTTAAATTTCAACCAGTAGTTATCATGTTATGCTCCGGACAAGAAAAAGTAACAAAGGGTAGTAACTCTGTAATAAGTCAAGATGGAGTTATGGTTCTTGTGCACTGCACTTTCTGTCAATGTGCTTGATCATTGTATAAAATTGGAAATGAGTTCTAACCATTTGTCTTCAAGTTAAGAAAATGCCCGGACCGACCTACCACCGGTTAACTCCTATAACCCCCCCCCCCACACACACACACACAGCACACACACACACACACACACACACGCACACACATGTACACACACACACACCACTTACACACACACAAAACTTTTTTTTTTGAGTAAAAAAGGTATAAAAGATTGATGTAACTC